TCTCTCCCCCCCTACTCTCTCTCTCTCTCTCTCTATCTCTCTCTCTCTCTCTCTCTCTCTCTCTCTCTCTCTATCTATGTATCTCCCCCTCTCTCTCTCATTCTTGCTTTCTCTCGCCCTGTCTCTATCTATCTATCAATCTATCTCCCCGATCTTTCTCTCTCTGACCGCCTCTACACCTACTTAGCTCACCTATACCGCCTAATGTGTGTGTGCGTGCGTGCGTGCGTGCGTGCGTGCGTGCGTGCGTGCGTGCGTGCGTGGGCGTGTGTAATAATATGTAATGTAATTAATACATAACGTAATTAATAACCATAACACAATAACGATAATACATGACGTAACAACATCATAAAGTAACCACACCTGCGGGCATCGCATACACAGCTACCACCCAACCTACGTATACCCCCCCTACTGTGTCAGCAATGCCTGATGATGCACTGACATTGATCCACAGATCACCCTCCCCCCACCACTCCTCTCTTACAGAACAGCGTTCTGGGGCTAGGCACGTGTATTCGAACGTACGATCTTGCAATTACCAGAAGGAAGAAATTTCCCCGAGAAGGTTGAATGTTTTTGTTCGCAGCGTGATAGCGATCGTTTGACAGCCTGTGTAAGGTGAGTACGTACTGCAGTGAGCGGTCGCATCTGATACGGTCGTATATGGATCCGTGAGCTGCTTTGACGACCCTTCCTCTTATCTTTAGCAACGTACACGTGCACAGCCCGATGCAGATATTTTTACAACACCTAGCTAGCAGACAGTCGGCCACAGCTCGACCCTTCCCTACCTACATCTAACATCGGCTGTAAAACGTGGGTCACTCACTCACCACACCTCGGATGATTGTATGCATACATATAACCTCGACTGTGTAAACTCTGTTACCCTCTCACCACACATCGGATGATTTCGTACCTACATCTAACCTCGACTGTATAAATTCTGTTACCCTTGAAAACATAACCTCCGCCAAGCCCCTGGCGGAGGTAAAAAAAAAACAGCTGGATACCTAGCAGGCGAGTGACACGGGTACGCATACGAGATACACACACATAGAAAACGTGTATGATGGACAAACACAGCGCGTGTAGATCATGTAGGAGATGAAGCTAACAACACTACCCGCGTCAAAAAGAACAACGTACAGGCGCACATTCTGTACCAACACTTCGCACGCAAATTGGGAACAGCCAAACCAACTTGACGGTCGTTTAAATTAGTTATCAAACGCGCGCGCATGCACTTTACAGCAACTCTGGCGCCGTTCGCAAATTAGCATATGCGGATTAAAATCCGGCGATCACAGTTCCCCGAAACACATAACGTCGGCAACACGTAGAGAATGCGATGGGTGCAACGCAGAGCGCATCGACACAAACCAGGAGGATCGTACACTCAGCCTCCGTGAAATGAACATATAAACACGGATTAAAATCCCGATCCGCGGTTCCGGGAACTAGTAAACTGGAACGGCCGCAGGAAATGAGAAGAGCTGTCGCTCAGGGAATGCGAACAGCCCAGTCATCACGCACCGTTCACTAACACGCTAGAGAGAAATTTACGAGCATGGTTAAACTTATCGAGAATCGAATGATGGGTCGGGGGGGGGGAGGACTAAAAGTAGATTCAGACAATCGCAAGCCGATCACGAGGGATAGCGAACACTGTCATACTGCACCGGTCACCGACATGCTACAGAGAAACTCTCGCGCATAGTTCGAGTTCTTCGCACACTACTCCTCGAGAATCAAATGATGGGTCGAGGGTAAAAACACCTACCAGACGATGGCTAGCAGAAGGATGGTGAACATCCCAGTCATCACGCGCAGTTCACCGACATGCTAGAGTGAAACACTCGTTCATAGTTCAACTCCTCGAGAATCGAACGACTAATCGCGGGGAGCAGGGGGTAAAAACACGTACCAGACGATAGCTAGCCGAGGGATGGTGAACATCAGAGCTGGGTCGTAATCGTCCGTCTGCTCCTGGGTGAGAAGGTTCAGCGTCAGCGCCCTGCAAGACAAAGCCAAGAGAAACCATAAACGTGAGACCGGGGTTCCCGCGAAAGCTGCAGAAGCAGCGGCTTCCTTCAGTGCTCGCGTAGCGTGACCGCAGCGCGTCTTAAACACGAATTAACGCTTTTTACTTAACGCTTGACTTAACATAACTTAACGCGAACCTAACAACTCGCATAGGCTGCCACGTGTCGTGCGCGCGACGGGGGCGATTACCGAGGCCCCGTTTTTCATCTCCGATCGCCTGATGAACAAATACAATTAGCGATACTAGGCTGGAAGCGTTTTTACGACCGTGGCCGCCGTCCCCCGAGGATGGTCACCGACGACGACGGCGTTTCCGACACCGGGTCGGCTCCCATTTTTTCGCGCGTGTACTACGCAGACGCGCACGAATTAGTGTGATGGATATTCGGTGGCTGTACCGACGCGCTGAACCGACGGTAGACAATACTCCTCACTGAGAGTCGATAATCTCTGGATGGCTCGTTCGGTCGTTCCGACGCGCGTGCGTGCGGGATAGACAAGGGGGGGGGGACCCCTCGCGCGCGCCCACACGTAAATCACATTCCGCTCACAATGCCGCGGACATTATAACCGACTTGCCTTCCACATCCGCCAACATTCAAACGAGAGATAGGGACTACGGTAATCCCTCGACTGCTTAGGCACCGCGTAAGATGTTATTACGTATAGGAAGTGGCACGACACACACACACACATGCGCGCGCGCACACTTCATTCGGGAATGTCTCGGGGGGAAAAGAACACCCTCGCACTAATACAGAAGGTATCCTTTTGGACAATGTCTGCAGAGATGCTGCTTGGGTAATGGGTCTATATCGTCCAGGCGGCATGCTCCTGTGTGCAGTGATTAGATCTCTGCACAATAGTTTCTTCAGAGGGCCTTCAGAGACATGCTGGGGCTTTTGGTCTGGGTGCATCAGAACAATTTTAAACGGAAGAAAAGCACTGCATCATAAATGCTCTAAACTAAACCAATAACCACAATAAAAACAACTAATAACTATATAACTATATAAATAACTAATCTACTAAGTTATAAAATCTACCACATCACAGAAACATTTATTGAACTATCACGTGTCACCTCCTTATCCATTTTCACTGGTATATCACCGCAGTTCCACCTAAACCGAAACTATGTGTCTGTGTCACGAAAATCATACCAAAGTCTATCCCAAACTAACATCGTGTCGATACAAAGTGATAGTATTATCCAAAAAGGATTACTTTTAGTAATAAAGTCTCTCTATCATACTCAACAAAACGGATAAATTTAACTAACAACAACTTTGTTAACGTAAAGCGAATTTATTCGCACGTCTGCAGCGATTGTAAAATCGCAGCGAAATGAGCATGGTGTGTCCGCTCAAGCGCGGGCAAATTTCATCCGCACCGAAATTCGCAGCGATCAAACATGTTTGAT